AGTTATATGAAATATTGAAATAAGGGTATCAAGCGAAAGAATGCTAAGAAATCTTTAGTTTCAATAGGAGGAGGGTTGTCCCCTGTTCAAATGTTAAATTCAGATTATTTAGTATCTTAAGTGAATCATTAGAAGATGGGTATCAATCGAAATCAGTTTTAAAGGCTTTATATCCGAACAATATTTAGGAGGGTGGCCATATGTTTAAAAATCAAATTCAACTTGAATTGCGTCAATAAGGTAATTGCAATATGTATCACAATATGGATGCCAAATAAAAGACATTTAAGAAGGTTTTAGTTTGAAAAGATTTGGAAGAGGGTTACCACATATATGAAAAGTCGAATTTAATTAATTTTTCACAATTTATATGAAATATTAAAGTAAGGGTGTCAAACGAAAAGTATAAGAATGAAATTTGAAAGGGCTTGCCACCGGTTTAAAAAATTAAAGCAAAAATCGAAAGTGTTTGGAAAGGCTTTATTTCAATCCTATATTTAGAAATCAAATTCGATTTGAATTTCAAAACCAAATTCGATTTGAATTGCGGCAATTAGGTAATTGAAATAAATATGTATGTATCACAATGTAGGTGTCAGGCAAACGAATTTTAAGAAGATTTAAGTTTAAGTACACTTTTTAAAAGGTTGCCACCTGTTTGAAATGTCCGATTTAGTTAACTTATACACAAGATACATATATATGATATATTTAAACGAAGTAGAGAAAAGTTTACACTAGATAGCTATTACAATATCGTCGGCGTATGGAATTGTCAGACCGCCAATATCTTCGAGTTCGCAAAGAAGGTTGGCTACGGCTATGTTCCACAGGTGTTTTTACTCCGCGAGCGCCTCGTAGTACGGGCTTAACAATCCCACGGTACCCAGTCAAAAGCTACCGGTACTGAGTCGGTGGAGGCTCAACTGGTAGAAGAGTCTTCGGCTTTCGGAAGTTTTACCAGAGACTTAAACCTGGTACCACGGAGAACAGATGCCCCCGGAGTATGTTCCCCGGCTATATTGGCAAAACAAACTGGATAAGCAAGGCGCGCAAGACAAGCACAATGTACGCCGGCAGGACTTGAAGAGAGAGAAAGAAGTTGAATGAAATAAGAAAAATTGGTGAAATGGTGTGTAATGGTGAAATTCGGTGTAACGGTGAAAATGTTCTCCAGGTGGGAGACATCAGGTGTGCATGAGTACAAGTTTTTTTAAGTCTGGCCTGTGCGAGTTGTGCACGTTGGGCGAGCCGGTCTGTTCATGGTGCGGCCCTTTGGGGAGTAACGTGGTGGCTGTGGTTTACCACCTACATGCGGGTAGAACGAGCAATGGTTCAATGTGAAGTTGCAACCGGGTGCCGGGACCCAGAGAACGGCAAAGACTTTAGGTAGGTTTCGGCCCTTGCAAGGTGGCCTATGTGTGTCCTCACCACACACTGCCAATTGGTACTAAAGTGCTTGCATTTCAGGGTGCTCATGAAGGCATATGTATTAATCCGTGGTGCTGAAGTGCACCGTGATCTTAAGTCATTTTGATAGGCAGCCACGTGAAATCTTAAATACAGCTGTGCCCCCTGGGGTGTCTCCCTGTCCGATTAGCATTCGTTCGATAACGAGGTTAGTGAACTGCTTACTCCCAGATTTAGCAGAGATGACCTAATCCTCCTGCACCGATTGTTGAAAGCACCCACGATGTTCAGGAAGGCAGCGAGTATGTATTATTTGTAATATAGTTGTCTTTCGATTACGTGCTCTAAAGAATGGAGTGCTATTTCAACTGATCTCCCTTTATTGTAAGCATGCTGGGCTGCCGAATGCTTGCTGCCCACCTTGTCGCTAATATGCACATCTATTAGTCGCTCTAGAGATTTGAGCAGGAAAGATGGCAGTCGGTATGAAGTCTTTTGGTCTAGTGTGTGGAGTTTTTCCTGCCGTGGTACTGAAAATTACTCTTACCTAATCCTTCAAAGACGGGTACGAGTGTGGGTACAATCGGTCCTTCTGTATGCTGTAGGCCAGCGGGAATAATTCCGTCTGATCCTGGAGACTTTTACGGTTGGAATCTATCTGCTAATAGCTCGTTTTAGGCTCTCCTCGGTAATAATATTCGCTGGAATGCAATCATTGTTGTGAGCGATTCGAGAATTTGTGACTCTACTATGGAGACAACCCGGAAAGTGCGTTCATATCAGAGGCTCTAGAGTTTCTTCACTGCTAGTGGTCCAAGCATCATCTTCCTTGATGAGTTAGCTAATATTGATGGGACTCATTGATGGTATTTTGTACGAGTATGAAGTACTTTCTAGCTTCTTACAGAGGTTTCCCCACGAGCAGCGCTTAGCGTATCTGACTACATACTTAAATGGCTTTGTAAAGTTGTACAAATACAAAAAATTAAAAGTGACGATTATTGGCCGAAAAATTTACTCAGTTCTACTGAAAAAAATATTCTTAAAGCGGCGTAAGATTTGGACCATCAAAGTTGGAAAAGCGCTGACCTTGACTTGTCTCCCTTTTTAAGAAAAAAGCAAACAAGATTGATTGGTGAAAGTTACAGAAAGTATAAATATAGCACATGACACTGCTGAAAAATATTGCTGTCTGAACACTTTCATAGATTTACATATAGTCTGTTCCAATAGCAGTCCGGTTTACAGGATTTAGTCAGAACTTAGAGGAAGTCGTTCCTATTGACATAAAACCTGTAAGTGGGAACACATTTGAAAGAGTGACAGGATTTAGTCCGGAGTTTTTTTTCCTGTAAGTTCATGAAAAGTGTCAAACGATCAGCTGATTTGCCTGTGCAAACAAAAACAGTAAGCGGTGAAAGCAAATAACCTTATATTTGTAAAAAAAAAATGGAAGTAAACAACGAAATATTTGAATATGTATAGATTTTAATAATTAGTTAGTGATATTTCAGCTAAATCAGTGTTTTTCAGATGACATGTAAACAAACCCACTGACGTTTTTACAGGAAATAGTGCTTTTTGCGTTCCCGTGCACTTCTGCATCTGTTCTCCTTTTACTCTCACTTGAGAGAGTAAAATTGTAGTTTGACAGTTCCACAGGTTTTATTCCGAAGTTCAAAGGAACAGACTAATAGTGACATATGTAGCTACAGCCCTGTGAAAGCTTTAGCACTCTGCAGTTGCAATTTAATCTTCATCCCTCTACTGGAATTGCTTAAAGAAATCAGAATAAAGCATACATTTTGGCGCTTTAGCACGCTTTTACACCTTTTGGAGTTATTTGACACAGGCCAATGAAAAGTTAAAAGCTACCCTTAAAGGGGTAAATATTTCCCAGGCACCCACCTTTAATACCGAAAACATTGGTTTTAAAAAAGAAGGAAATTTTCAATGACTCGCCGGTTTGTTTTATAGTATAGACGCAAACTCAGAAAACATTTTCAGGCAGAAAGCTCATTTTCTAAATTCCTAAAACAGATTTGTCGCTTGATGTCCCTAAATACAAGTCGTCGAAAATATCCTTCTTATTTTCATACCATTATTTTTTATCCATTCAATGTGAAACTGTTATACTGGCATTAAATTACGCGCTTACAGGAGGGTGGCTGAGAAATATACCCCCTTTAAGGGTAGTATTTTAACTTTTCCTTGGCTTGTGTGTGTCAAATAACCCCCAAGTGGTGTAAAAACGTGGCGAAGCGGCAAAATGTATGCCTTAACCTAATTTACTGGAGCAACTGCCAGTAGAGGGACGAAGATTAAATTGCAGCAGCACAGTGCAGGAGCTTTCAAAGGGCTATAACTACAAGAGCTTAATTTATGTAGCTTCATAAATAAACGTATGAAAAAACGTATAAAAGTGTTCATGCAGCTTTTCTAATTTAGATGTTGGCCCGACCAGGGATAGAACGCCACTTATTTTCGATTTTACAATTTTAACTAAAACAATTTAATATGTATATCAAATGAAAGCCATTTTTGAGAATTTAAACGTTGCAAGGTTTTTTCGTAATACAAAACTTTAATCTTATTAATTTAATGGAGCATATATGGTGGTCCAAAGTCGGAATTGTAATGCTCTCATCCCCTAGGATTGTTCTATATCGAAAAAAGTACACCCCTATTTTTTTTTGAAATCAATAAATATTTAGAGTTCACTCAAAGCGCTCAAAGTTTTCTATGTATTTTTATATGCAAAAAAAAACTTTTGTAGAAATGGTATACAATTCTTGGAAATAAATATTTTTCGATCAGAAAATTCATGTTCTCTTCAGGAGACTTTCAATAATAGTAATAGTGTTTGTATGCAATCTAGTCTCTCAGTTTTCAAGATATCCGAGTGAAATTTGGTAAGTGAGTGTATTTTTATAATGTATTAATCATTTGTCGGAACCGGAAGAATCGGACCACTATAACATATAGCTCCCATACAACTGATTGTTCAGATACGAGATTTTCGTTATAACTCCACCATTTATATAGCTGGGGACATGAAATTTCGCGCTTTTTTCACCCATTGTCAACAGAATACTTGCAGTGAAAATGACAAAGATCAGGTCACTATTACATATAGCTCCCATACAACTGATTGTTCAAATACGAGATTTTTCGTTATAACGCTTCCATTTATGTAGCTGGGAACATGAAATTTCGCACTGTCGCATAGAATACTTAAAGTGAAAATGACAAAAATCGTTTCACTATAAACTATAGTTAAGATTGGTGCTTTATAAGATATATCTTACATACCACCAATTTTTTAGATATTTCTTTTTATATATGTACACACGTAAGTCCTCTATCTATGCATGCTGTGGAAAAAGAATTTTGGTTTAGCTCCCAAACAACTAATTACCAATGCAGTAACCTTTTAAAGTAAAATTTTCTGATATCCATGAAAGGCATAGCCAAAGACAGCACTGCTCTTACTTGTTTTTTTTTTTTTAATTTTGTGTTATTTATTTTTGTCTAATTTCAGATAACATACTTTATGGCAATAATACCTCATAATATAGCGCAACACCATCAACCTTTATTTCCTACCAGCCGTTAAGCCCAAGCCGACTAAATAAAACAAAAGCGATGACATTTCTACTTCTCCATGCACCGCAGTAAACAAAAAGCCACCTGTAGGACACAAATGCCGCTTTGTTTACGGACAGGCTGAAAGGCGTGTGGCAAGCTGCCTAGCAACGATGCGTATGATGTTAAGCTTAAGGTAACCACAACAGAAAAAATTGCCTGCGGAAAAATTCTTCAAGCGCAATTAAGAGAGGAAAAGTCAATTTTAATTTACTTTAAGAAAATAAATTTCGAAGTATAGTTTTAAAAACATTTAAATGCAATTAAAGTATTTAAGAACATTGTTAGATGGACAGGTAAGTAATGTAGAGAATAATTACCATCAAACCAAAATCATTATTAGAGCTCGTATTTTCATGCTAAAACAAGTAAGCCTAAAACCGTGTAACATCCCAGCAAAAACTTTTGATTCTTAGTTTTTGCGGGTATCACAACGAAAAACAAAATGTATAAATTTTTATTTTATTTTATTTATAAATTGTTTTACTCTTAACTTTTCTGCATGGAAATCCGTGTTTGAATCATTATTAACAAGCATATATCTGAATACCTCATTAATTTTATATTGCATACCTACAGGAGCAATTGAGTCGCATTGCTGGCCTAGCATGGTCTCCGAATCACCAAAAACTGGCCATCGCCACCGCTGATCGATATATTCTACTCTTCGACGATGCTGGCGAACGACGCGATAAATTCTCGACCAAACCATCGAACCCAGCAAACGGCAAGAACTCCTACGTCATACGTGGACTTGCCTTCAGTCCGGATTCAACTAAGTTGGCTGTTGGACAAAGTGACAATATTGTCTACGTATATAAGTTGGGCGAGTCATGGAATGATAAAAAAGTTATCTGCAACAAATTTCCACAGGCAAATGCAGTTACAGCTTTAATTTGGTTGTCAACCGGTGCCATAATTGCAGGTTTGTTTATGAATTTTATTTTTAACACTTTTTTCTAGTCTTAGCTAAGCCATTGCCTGCCGAGAATGAACGCTGCACAGTGGTCCAAAACTGTCATATACTATTCTTCATTCCGTAGAGCCTCCATTTATCACTCAATTTGATAATATTTTTAATGAAAACTTATCAGTTTTGATAAATAGGCCAGATGTACCCGATTTCGGAATTTTCATTTCCTTGTCTTAAAATTTTTAATGCAAAGTGCAGAAAATGTGGCAATTTTAATGAAAGTCGAAAGTCTCCTGTTCCACTTAATAAATTTAGCATAACAAAAAGTAGTTGAAAACAATTATAGGTTTCCCCAAAACAAAAACAAAAAATTAAATATTATACAAAAAATGTTCACCAAAATTCATTTTTTTAATTTTAGAAAAACTTGCAACTTGCACTTTATTATATTAAAATTTAACGATCTATGAAACTGCACAGCCAAAATATTTCTAAAAACTCCAAAAAATAAAATGTTAAATTTTGGAGAAATATTTTTCTAACATTTCAAATTTTTTTTTTATTTTTTTTACAATTGTTTTCAACTACTTTTTATTAAGCAACATTTATTAATTGGAACAGAACAATTGATTTTCTCCAAAATTGCTGCTTTTTCCGCAGTTTACACTAAAAAATTAATACAAGGAAACTAAAATTACTTTTTCTTGTATAGATGTTGGCTGGACACGAGATCGAACCCAGGTCCTACGAATTGGTAGTACGCACCTCTAATCACAAAGCCACATACATACAAGCAACCTCTTTCTATTTTCCGCTTTACTACATATGTACATACATACATATATTATTGTTATACTTCTTCTTCTTATTTGGCGCCGTAACCGCTTAAGCGATTTTGGCCGAGTTCAACAAAGCATGCCAGTCGTTTCTTTTCTGTGTCAACTGACGCCAATTGGAAACGCCAAGTGAAGCCAAGTCCTTCCCCGACTGGTCTTTCCATCACAGTGGGGGCTTTCTCCTCTTCCTCAGCTACCACCAGGGGGTTCCAAGTTGAATAAGTATTTATCTGCAGGAGCTGCACGGTATCTTTTTCATACCAGCTGCTCCTGTGTGGATGATAGCAGCCAACCGCAGCGGTACGAAGATATTGAGATATCGATTCCCGCTTCGGCTGTCTTTTGTAACTGCAGCTTTTCGACATCAAGCCTTCGTTGTGCCATTTATAAATGCTACCAATTTAGTTCTAGGTTCATTAATCAGGGGACACCCTAGTAGTTTTTTGATTGTTTCAATTCTGGAATCTGGTACTACTTGTTCCGTGCTGCGGCGTAGTCTATGAGACCCTCTCGTTTGTCCAAGATATTTCCGACTGATGGACCAAATATATTGAACTTTTACGGGGATTATGGTAATTTGTTCACTGATGGCAGTGCACCCGAAAACAAGATATCGAGGCGTCCGCGCAACTTCAAATTTAATAGTTTGTGCGCCGTCTCATGGTAGCGCTAATAGATGTCACACGCAGTCAATTTTTTACAGCTATACCCCGCTCATCGCATTTACAGTGGTGATATAAGCCTGGTATTTCTCTAAGTAAACCATCAGTTGGATAGAGGTACCTTTCCTATGGAGGGTCCGGGCATTCCAGGTGTATATCCGTAAAGCGTAGTCCTTGTTTCGTGTGCGTGGGTGGTCAAATTTGGATGGCAATTAATCGAAATGGTTTTGGTCTTTCCATTGGATCTGTTTTTTACCTGACTGGCCCCAAGGTGGCCCAAGGCTAGTGCCCAACACATTACTGTATTTTATTTTTTAGAGATTTTTCATGCACAGCAACGACTGGTAAACTTCGTAGAGTAAATCCGATAGAAGATAAAAGGCTTTCTTAACTTACGAAACCCGCGATGTAATTGAAAAAAAAAAATAATAATTGAAAAGTTTTCCGAAAATCACAGGCTAATAGCATAAAAATTGTTGAATAGAAAATTTTAAAAATGTTAATAGATATAGATAGATACATTGGCTCCTCCCCGTTCCTTAGATCCTGGCTCCGTCCTTGCTTCGCCTCCTTCGACACTTGTCTCTTTGGAGTCGACTGTCAAGCACTCGCACCGTTAATGGCTGGCCTCTGAGTTGCTACCCCAACGCTGAGCACTTGTGTGGTCCACTTCAGTTGCAAACATGTTTAAGC